TATGCCATCATTTTTATTTTAGATATTTTTTTTGTTGTTGCTTTCATTTGCTCCTGATGTTCCTCTTGAGGATTTCAATGGGTTTGGTTCCCCAAACATTCACATGCAGAACAGGGATGCTAGTTGATTACATGCAAATCAGAAGCCTTCCAGTATGAAGGCAGCTGTGTTGCTTTAAGAGAAACGTCTGTGTCTTATGAACTGCAGCTCTGTGTAATTAGCAGCGAGTGTTTTGGGAAATCTAACCTCTAAATGAGCTAATGGCTTGTATTGAACTATCCGTTTTAAGATGCTATGTGGGAGGTTTCTTACTTGATATGTTACTGCCAAATCTAATGGGATATCCCTTTATTATTGTAGTAATAATCAAAAATTGCTAGAAACTATTACAGCTAAAAGAATAGCGGGGTGTTTTAAATCAAGTTATTCACAGATTTCCATCTGCAAAGTCACTCTGTAAGGCACAACATAAGCATCACATGATCTATGGAATAAACTGACAAATATGCTGTGCTGGTGCATATTTTGTAGACACCTTTAAGAATTATAATGTGCTATCTGTAAATCTCACACAAGGCATCTTAGGGAGCATTGTGTGTTAAAGTCCGGGTCAGACCACATTTACCAAAAACAGATGTTATCGTTAGCATTAGGAGTCAACTTCTGCTTTGCTCAGTTGTAAGACACAGGGTCAGTTGTTTGAAGATCTCTGGATAACTAAAAAAAAATTTTAAAAATCACTTTTCTGTTCCAGTCTCTTGATAAAAATGCCAGTTGTGAGACATATTCATGCTAAATACCCTCAGTAATTCTATTCAAAACAACACATTATCAGTGTAAATGCGGAACAAATGGTGCGCAGGAGTCTCGCTGTGCTCATATTGTCCACTGCAGATTTACCGTTTTTGTGAAATCTGGTCTGACATGTGGTAAAGACGGAAGAAAAAGATGGAGGGATGTAAATAAAGGAATGTATTAAAAGAGTTTCACACCTGATGCTTCATTCTTTGCACACATAATAGACGAAGTAGTGCGCAGATGTCCAAGAAGGCGGGCTGTTTCACTTCTGATGAACTAAAAATCTTTTGCATTACGACTCAAACTCATCAGAAATTTCAATGATGTAACATGGAACACGTAACATTGTACGTTATTGCATTGGGCTCTTAGATTTACATAAACAAGGGACTGGGACAACTCAAAAATATCATTTAGTTTCCAGAGCATGTGTAAATGTGGACCTCGAGTACCCTGTAGGCAGCTTTTCTGTGACATACAGTAATGCCCTGTTGAGCCTGCTTTGATCATCAATGCACGGCAGGGAACAGGAAGGAGGAGAAGGCAGGAATGGGAGCGAGGAGAAATAATAGATTAGAGACGAGAGAAGAATAAAGGTAGCAAAGGGGAAATGCAAGAAGAAAGGAAGACAAGTGAGAAAGAAGTGGAGTACAGGACTGCTTTTTATGCAAGAAGAGAGGAGTGACAAGAAGAAGAACCAAAACTGTACAAGAGAAATAAAGTAGGTGAAATTATTCAATATAAGATTACAGTGTACTGAATTTTAAAAGTGTAGCAAAAGAAGGATCCTTTAGGTGATATGTAACTAATACTATGAGATAACTGCAGAAGAGCTCAACTCAATACTACAACTCTTGTAGCTGCAACATAAGCCCACCGTGCTTGACAGCTGATAAGAGTGTGTTGAATTATGTCCATCAGCATGTCCACTTTGGTCTCAAATAAGCACGTTGTTCTAGAAGTGGTTTGTTAATTAATTATAATCTTACAAAAACCAGCCATGTTTTTTTCTGTTTTTAGAGAGAAGAACCTTTCTTGTGGCAAACCTTCCAAACAAGTGACACCTGTTCAGTCTTTAATTTTACTATCGTGAACTTAACATGCTAACTGAGGCCTGTCGAGTCTGAGCTGTAGCTCTTAGGTTTTTGTGGAGTGTACACACAGCCTAAGAAATTGGGAACCAATGAATGCAAGAACAGTGACTCTAGCATAGCTAAAAATCCTCAAAAAGCAAGTGTGCAACTTTTAGTCAACATGCAGAGAACAGGTTTAAGTGTTTTCAGGTGACTGCAGTAATGGTAGTTACTATTAAGCTTCACAGTCTTTTGATTTAAGAGTCTGCTCTTAAATCAAAGGACTGAAAAAGCCACAGCGTTCTCATCCTCACAGCCTCAAATACTGTATTTTGGCAAAGCTGCTAGCATCGCCAAATTACA